CATGTTTGTTGGCAGAGATTGGTGAGTATGTCCAGGGGGCATCTGCTAGTTGAAACATTTCAATTGGTATTTCATCAATTCCTGAGGCCTTATTTTTTCCTAATGTTCTCTGTGCAGCCTTGACTATTTCTTCATTATTGATTCTTGATTTATGCTACTTCCTGAAGTGGTTTAGGGTTGACTAATTCTTTTTGGTACAGTGACTTTGTGTATTCCTGTTATCATCTTTTGATGTTTCCTGTATCATTCAAGATTTTGCCCATAGAATCTTTCAGAGTTGCAACTCAGGGCTTTAATTTGTTCTTTAGTTGTTTTTTTTGTTTGTTTTTTTCAGGAAGAAATTGAACCACTTATTGTCCCAGATTTGGATCTTCGACATAGTGGGGGACAGGAGTGTTTGGCCTCTGGGGAGCTATAGGAGAGGTTACAAGCCCCCAACTAGCTCTTTGTTCCCCCCAAGACTACCCCCCTCAAACCTCTGCATTATTTATGAGTTGGAGGTATGAGGTCTCCTACCCCAAGGTGAGCTGCACCCCAGCTCTTACGTGGGGTGTTCTTTAGTTCTTTCCGCTTCAGAGATACTGAACATGTTCTTCTCTTTTGTTTTTTCTAACTCCAGCCCTTTGCACACTTGGTTATAATACTCCACTTTTTCTTCTTGAGCAGCCCTTTGATATCTCTGTTCAACTCTTACCTCAGTATCTCCTTCCTTGTTTTGAATTCTTTTCATTCAAATGCAAATTTCAGTGTCTCTTCTGACACTCATTTCTTTCTTCCCTGTTTTTGTAATGATCTTTTCCTTTCATTCTTGATGTCATCCTACAACTCATCTGGCCTTTGATCAATGTCTCAAAGCTATTCTTGAGATGGTTTATAAAGTCAGGTGGGACAGACTGATGGTTGTGTTTTGGTTCTGTGGACTTGTTTTATCTTCAGCTTCAGTTTGAACTGGATGTTGTTGCTAGGTATCATTGAGTCGAGTAAGAGTCATTGTGATCCCATGAACAAAAGATCTGAACCTAGTCCTGTCCCGCACCATCCTCATACGTCCTGACACATAAAAGCCCATCGCAGCAGTCACCTTGTCAATCCACCTGGTTGAGGGTCTTCCTCTCCTTCACTGACCCTCCACCTTTCCCAACATCATGTCCCTCTTCAAGGAATAGCACCTCCTCACAAACTTTGAACTGTATACCACTATATTTTTAAAAGTCCATGTAAAGACTTGACATCGTTACCTAAAAAAAATCACTCCCTTAATTTTTCACTTGTTTTTCATACCCGTCTGCAGATATGGGCAGGTCGAATTCTGGTACTGGAGAAGAGTCTTGAACATACCATGGACCTCCAAGAAAACAAATAGGTCTGTCTTGGAGAGGGTGAAACCAAATCTTTCCTTGGAGGGAAGGATTTTGAAACTCCATCTCACATACTTTGAGCATGTGTCTAGAAGAGATTGGTCCTTAGAGAAGGACATCATGCTTGGAAGGTGGAGGACAGCACATGAGAGGAAGACCCCAGATGAGATGGGTTGATACAATAGCTGGGACAATGGGGATTGGTGTGTTGGAATTAGTGAGACTGGCTCAGGACAGGGAAGAGTTCAGAGCTGCTGTACATAGGGTTGCTAGGGGTCACAGGTGACTTGATGTCATGTCATAACAACATATCATCCAAACATTCTTGACACTCTTTGACCCCTTGCAAATGATCAGTATCAAAGAATCATGGAGGGAGAGCTGATGACCTAGTGGGTAAGAAAGTGTACTGCCAACCCAAAGGTAAACAGTTTGAATCCACTAGCTGCTCCTCAGAAGAAAGATAGGCAATCACCTCTCATGTCTCCAAAACTTTCACTCAAACAACAATCACAACAAAACATTTAAAAAAAGAATCATAGAGGTCACAGAGCTGTGTAATGTGAGATCAAATCATGGTGAGCTTGTCTCTCCAGCGTCTTGGTATGAAGTAAATCAGGAACAGAATTACTCATCAAGTTTTGTGCGTGTGTGTGTGTGTGTGTGTGTTTGTTTTGTAATTTTTTTTTTACTTGGCTGTAGTCTTAACAAAAGCTGATCATCAATCCATTTCTTTTGAGTATTGCTGGAACTGAACCAGTAACCTTTAGGTTAGCTGGCTGTACCACTCAGGTGCCCAAAGATGTCTTAATATTGCAAAATTCTGCAACTGTGCTGATAGAATTTCTTCCTTTGACATTGCTTGAGGAGTAGAGGTTTATAGCTGCAGGCCCCAGTACATTAAATAGGATATTATAACATGCCCTAAATCAACTTACATTAGAATGACTGTAAGTGCTTTTATAAATGCAGCATCCAAGGTTCAGTGTTATATTCATTTAGATTAGAATTAGAAGAAGGGGGACTCACACTTTTTTTTTTAAATATATTTCTCTCGTGTATATTCCAAAGGTGACGCTGTTCGGCTGCTACAGAGCTGGGGTATGGGGACTCACACTTTTAACAAATTCATGAGTGAATCTTAATCATTCTGCTCCACTGACTTATTTCTTCCTTCCTTCCTTTCTCTTTCTTCCTTCCTCTCTCTTCTTTCTTTCTTTCTTCCTTTCTCTTTCTTTCTTTCTTTCTTTCTTTCCTTCCTTCCTTCCTTCCTTCCTTCCTTCCTTCCTTCCTTCCTTCCTTCATCTATTTTTCTTTCTCTCTCTCTCTTTCATTGTTGCCTTTTTCTCCCCTCCCAACCCTCCTCCCAGTATACTATATTCTTGGAAAAGTAAAAGATTCTTTCATTGTTTTACAATCCCTACCTCCAGGTCCACTCCACTATACAGCCTTCGTTTTGGACTCCTGTCATGACAAAAATATCTAATAACACATCCCTTTTAAACCGTTTTCTCCCTCATCTGTTTAAATGCAGTATACATTATTGAACCTATCGTTCTCAGTCTCTCCCCAACCCTGAGGTCAGTCCTGTTTTACAACAGTGGCACCATGCAGTATTTGTCCTTTTGTGACTGAGATACTTCACTCAGCATAATGTCCTCCAGGGTCACCCATTTTGAATAATATTGCATGAGTTCCTTGTTTTTCAATGCAGCGTAGTATTCCATTGTGTGAATAACCACAGCTTCTCTATACATTCATTTGTTGATGAGCGCTTAGGTTGTTTCCAGCTCCTTGCTATTCCACTGATTTCTAAAACCAGTTCTGTACTCTTTATCAGCAAAATCAAGAAAAGTCACTGCAACTTTCTTAGCTTCTACCCTATTGTCCATTTCTTTCTAGAATGGCCACATAATATTACAAGAAACAAAAACAGATTTTTCCCTTGAAAGCATATGGAGTAAAGGGGATAAGAGAGGTATAAACACCACTTCCCCTCTGCCCCAGCACACCTCCATTTGGATCAGGTTACCAATCTAAGGAACACTGGTGGCTTAGTGGTAAGAAGTGTACTGCCAACCCAAAGGCATGCGTTTCAAATCGCCCAGCTGCTCCTTGGGAGAAAATATGGGCAATCTTCCTCCTGTGCGTTTTATTGGCTCTGAAATCTGCTGGAGGGTCAGCTATGAGTCAGTTCTGATTCAGTGGTACATTAACACCACCACCAATTAATGTAAACTTGGCCAAATCAAACTTGATATTCATTATTAATGTTTTGTGTGTGTAAAAATGAATTTTAATGCTTAAAGGCAAGGATAAGTCCCTCATTAAAGATAATGATCTCTTTATACAGGTGATGCTAATATGGGTGGCCTTCACTATGGAAAATAGTGACTTAAACTTCAGGGAGAACTCCAAGAAATACTGAGGCTGTGTGCTTGGAATCTAAGCACTGACTGCTGACTACGAAAACGATTCCTCCTGGAAGGAACAGATTCGTTTTGGAAAGGCTGTATTCAGCAGTTTCTGGAGCAGTGGAACATTTTTTCCATTCTTAGTGTGCAAACAGATTGCTGGCCTTCTTCAGAGAGGCAGGCCTAGACAAAGCCTCTCAGCAGGCCCTTCCGGACAGGGTTTCTCCACAGATGAAATTAGGTCAAAGAGAAAAATCCAGAGCAGTTTTGAGGGAGGTAAAAGAGAAAATCCTGAAAAGGGATAATACACCCACAGCGAAGGGTGGATATGGGGTGCTATCCTACCTGCTTGGCTCTGGCGAAGGCCTGTCACATGAATCTCAGGGTTTCCTGTTCTCTGCAGCTGTCTCTGAGTCACTGGGGTTGCAGGGCAGGACGCTCTAACCAGGGAACATAACCAAGTGTGACTCTTAAGCGAGGCCAGGATGCCAGGCTAGTGTGAAAATTAAAGAGTGACTATACTGTTGTTGGTTCTTGTGTATTTTGAGTTCTTGAATCTGTTTTTAAGACTGTTAAGTTACCAGAAAGCACAAAGAAAAGCTGGTAAGTTGAATTCACATCTGGTAAATGAGAACTGGTGCCAGTCCCATTAGTCACTAAGATCATTGCAGGGTGGAGCATGTTAGCCAAATAAACAGTAAACCAAAAGCTACACTTCCTTCTAAGTTGGGGTTTCCTAGGAAATCTTTAAAATGAAAACCTAAAATGCCTTAGGCAGGCAAATGTTATAGATAGAAAAGCCAACCTTTTCTTTTCTCTTTCCACTGTCCTCAGCTGTTGCAGAATACTGTTGAGTATATTATACTTTGGGAAGTAAAATATATTTATTAAACATATTTAATTTTTTTTTACTTCAAAATAGTATTTTTATTATATAAAAATGTAAAAATCCAGCAAAACCAGAAATACGGATATATTTTCCTGGGATTTCACATTTGTTGATTTTTATTCATCATCTGTTTTTCAATATAATTTACATCCTCATCCCCATTCCCATCCTGATTATACTGATGCAAGTGGCAGAAAGGCCTGGAATAAATACATCCAAGGGAGAGGATAAGAGGCAAAACTGTGAAGCTATGTGCATGCACAGGTTCTAAGGGGGAGAGGGGAGAAAGTGTCTTGGGAATAAACTCAAGGTAATTAGAGGGTTTCAGCTAAAGTTTGTTCAGTCATCCTTGTCTTTTGCTCCATGTTTCAGGATGTGTGTGAACTCGATGTAATTGAAATTCCCCTTTTTGTCGATCGGAGCTTCTCTGTAGAGCTCGTCCACTTCCTCGTCCGTAAAGCGGTCCCCCATGGTGGTCAGCAGCTCTCTCAGATAGTCTTCCTGAATGGTGCCCGTTGCTTCTTCATCAAAGCAGGCAAAAGCATTTCTGATGACATCCTCTGGATCTGTCCCATTGAGCTTCTCCCCAAACATCGTGAGGAGCATGGTGAAGTTGATGGGCCCTGGAGCCTCATTCATCATGGCTTCCAGGTACGCATCCGTCGGGTTCTTCCCTAGAGAGGCCAGCATATTATGCAAGTCTTCCTTGTCAATGAAGCCATCTCTGTTCTGGTCAATCATGTTGAAGGCCTCTTTGAACTCCTGAATCTGGGACTGATCAAACATGGCAAACACGTTGGATGTTGCGCGCTGAGGGCGCTTCTTGGTGGTCTTGGTCTTGGCCTTTTTGCTCGACGTGGTGGCTGTTTAATTCTTCTGCGCTTCTGCCCTTGGCACCACCGACCGCAGATTTCCGGAAGCTTTTCCTGATTTCTTTTTTGTGTCCTTTTCGTCAGTCAACACGAATGAAGATGCAACATACTGAGAGGGTGAGAACCCTCATGGAAATAATCGCACCTGCACCGCCTATAGCTCTGGGGCCTAGTGCTAAGAAGCGGCACTGCAATCCTCAAGGCACGCAGTTCGAATCCACCAGCTGCTCCGCGGGAGAAGGGGGACAAACTGCTCCCGTGTGCTTAACTGTCTCTGAAAACCGGCCAGCTGGGGGTCGGCTCTGACTCGATTGTACACAATAACCTCCCATCGATGATCCCTCGCAGCGGATCTTTAATGATTTCCGTGGACACCAAAACACCCACCAGGTCCTGGGAGACTCCTGCACCCCCCACGAACCCCCAGCCCGCGGTGCGGGCCCCGGCTCCCCAACACCCCTAGAGGCCCCGCCCTCAGGGCGGAGTACACAGCCCGGGGCTGTGTGCGAGGTCGTCCGGGTGACACGGGCAGGGCAGCCGGGCTGAGCGGCTCGAGCTCCTCCCCGATCCTGCCCCGTCACCCCGGCCCGCGTCCGGCGCAGGGTGGGCCCCAAGTCCCCCGCCCCGGGCCGGCCGCCGTGGCGCGAGGTCGGTGCGGGGAACAGATTTAAATTTTAACCAAAAAGCTACTATCCCAATTTTTTTTTCTATCTCAAATTTGTAAGATGTTCAGTATTTTATAATGAACATTGACGAACCATTCTCAATAACTGAAGTAGTATTGTGGGATCATGCACTTGAACTTGGTGTCTGGCTTCAGAATTTTCTTCCCCAAGAACAAAATTTAAGGGGGAAGTGGTGACAGAATGGAGAGTGATGGGTTACTGACCAAAAGGCTGAGGGTTTCTGGTGGGTTGAATCCACCTCTTCAAGAGAAATATGAGCAATTTCCTCCTGCATGAGTTCCAGGCTCTGAAAGCCCAGGGAGGGTCAGCTATGAGTTAGTTATCACCTCAAGGGCAGTGGGAGAGAGAAAACGCTAAAGATCTCTGGGCGTTCACATCTACCAGCTGTTCCTCAGGAGAAAGACAGTCTCCTCACATTATAACTAAACCCAGTGGAGGGTTCCTGTGAGAATGGACTTGATGGCCATGAGAGGCACAGTACAAGTAGGATCGAAGAAAGTCTGTAATCATTATGAGCATTTGAACATCTCCTTCCCATTAACTCCAGGAGATGACCACGCCCTTCCCTACTGTCAGAAGACCTAGAGAGCCCCCCTGGCTTTGTTCTCATAATCACGAATTGATCTTTCTCTCTCCTTTACATTTTTATTCATTCCCTGTTGCACATGAGTTGATCTTAACCTTGATACTTAAAGAAACTTCATCGTTATTTTGAAATCAGAATACTAGAGGTCCAGATCTTTGTAAAACTATCTTGTATTATTGTTGTAATTATTCTTTGTAAAAGAATCTTGAGCTAAAGGAAACTAAGGTTTACGTCATTATTTTTTAAAAGCAAAATTCTTTTATTCAAACAGAAGTCTAAATAGAAAGATAGAAAATAAACATCTCTGGTTGAAAGAGGATGGGTGCTTGGGGCACTGCCTACCGGACTACACATCTCCTGCAGGCCTTCAGAGGGGTCTCAGGGCTACAGAGCACATGCAGAAGCCCGGATTTAGTCCAGTCTTTTCATTTCACAAATGATCAATTTGAGACTCAAAAATGTTAAGTGACTTTGAGTTAACTTGAGTTAACATTACTGTGGCAAGGAGCTATGCTGCAATCCCAAAGGCAAGTGGTTCGAGTCTACCAGCTGCTCTGTGGGACAAGGATCGGCAATCCCCTCCTGTGTGATTATCTGGGTCTGAAAACCTGCTGGAGGGTCAGCAATGGGTTGGTTCCAACTCAATGGTACACAACAACAACAGTGTATCCATAGGAAGCGCTGTGTTGTCCTAGGGGGTAAGGAGTTGCACTGTTAACCTAAAGGCAGCCAGTTTGAATCCATCAGTTCCTTTGAAGGAAAAAGACAATCTCCTCTCATGTGATTACTGTTAGGTACTGCCAGGACGGTCATTCATGGTGACTATGACCTCTGAAAATCTGATAGGCAGTCAGCTATGAGTTGGTTCTGACTCTATTGTGATGTGGATTTCTTTCTTTTGAACTTCTTAAAATGTGATAGCTAACCATCTGTTTGTTAAACCATCATGTATAAGTGTTTCTGTTACAGAAATATTTGTTGGTTTAGTCCATAAGATGTTGCACAGCTAAATCAAAGGCCATGCTATCTCTGTTTAGAAAGATGGACAACCTCCTCCTGCACAATTTACAGTCTTGAAACAGCACGAGAGGCCAATACGAGATGGCTGGTTCTCACTTTATGCCCATGAGTTTGAGTTTTGTTAGGCAGGACAATGCTGAACATACTTCATGGAATATACATACTAAGACAGACTAGGAAGAAAGGTCTGGTGATTTACTTCTAAAACCCTAGAGATTACCTTTTCAGTGTGTGTGAACTGTGGCAACTACATTGCACAGTCTTGATTTTTTTTATCAAGGAGATTGGTGGTGAGAAGAGGTAGGGCACAGGCTTCTGTTGAGAGGAGGAGGTAGCAGCAGAAGTAGGCAAAAGGTTTTGATTGTGATGGATAAACAGAGAACCATAAGAGAAGCTTATGACGAGGCAAGCAGGCGTACCAACACGCAATGGCCGAGACGTGTGTCGACAGGTAACGAAGTGTGGCAGTAGTGAGAAATTTGGAGTTTTTTATTATGCAAACAGACAGGAATGAATGTACAAAATTCTGTTCTGCAACCAACCTAGCTAAAAACCTAAACTTTTTTGCAGAGAAAACAAACCGTGTGACTGAAATAGTTCTGCAAACAGCTGGCTTTGCAAAAAAAAAAAAAAAAGAGCAAGCTCTTTAAAGCTAACCAGCTCATGAACATAGACCAATGCAGTCTACATAGAGATGATTTCATCTGACATCAAAGTAACATGACTCCTTACTCTTCCTTATTTTATTATTTCAAAGAACAGTGAAACCCAAGGATGATTCCCCACTTCCCTTGGTTTGAATTTGCTCTATCCAGGATTAGATTCCTTATCTATGTAATACACCTGCCAGCCTCCAGAATAGGTTTTTCACTCAAAGGATACATTTATTGTGATTTTAAAAAATAGGCAGCATAATTGTGATCTGCCATTGACCCTTTCCCTTCCAGCCCCATTCCCTTTCCAATTCTCAGTATATCTTCTGTGCAAAAAGTCACACTGTCTTACATGGTGAAACCTGTGAGAATTGGAATTGAACCGCTTGGCTTTTTCCTATTCTTGTAGGGTTTTTTGGTTTGTTTTCTTGGTTTTTTGCCTTAAATAGGATGCAGCCTTACCACTTTTCATCACTCATTTTAGTGGAAAATATTTGAAGTTCTCCTTTTCTGACATCTTACACAGGCTCCAACTTTCACAGGTTTCACCGCGCTCCTCAAATACATCAGACTGCACCCCATTTCTGTAGCTCTGCAGATGCTGTTCCTCTAAGCTAACACTTTTCTGTTTCTTTTTTTTTACTTCTTGTTCTACTTTTCTGTTTCTATCCTCACCTTCTGCTGTTGTTAGATGCCGTGGCATCTGCCTCCAGTTATCACAATGTGACTGGACAATTTGGACCCACAAGATTTTCAGAAGATCACCAGGCCTTTTTTTCCTACTTCGAACTCAGAAGCTCTCTAGAGATACGTTCAGCATCACAGCAACACACAAGCCTTCCCCGACAGCCAGGTGGCAGCCTAACATGAGGTATGTATATTGGCTAGGAACTATGCACTGGATCCCTAATGAAAGCTGAGAATTCTCCCGTTGACTCACCAATCCTTAATCCAAACCCTACATGCATGGGCATTCCCACCCAACCTCCTAAGCTCAGCCTGACAAACTTTACTTTTACAAAACTGCACAGAGGACCTTTGTATATACCTTTGAGCCCTTAGTGGAAAATATTAAAAGTGGGATTATTATAAAGATTTTGCTCATTTATAAGATTTTTTAAAAATTTTTTAAATTTTATTTTATTTTGTGTGTGTGTACTGTCAAATCAGATCTGACTGGTACAGGAGGAGAT